TTTCCAATTCCCGGTGATTCTTCGTTTCCAACTTTTGCATTCCAGTCACCAGTGATAATTGACACATCCTGATTGCATGTTTGGTCAATTTCAGGCTGTAGAAATTGATAAATGTCTTCAATTTCATCATCTTTGGCTTTGGTGGTTGGTGCATAAATTTGAATAATAGTCGTATTAACTGGTCTTCCTTGTAGGCATATGGATATTATCCTATCACTGACAGCATTGTAGTTCAGGATGGATCTTGAAACATCCTTTGTGATGATGAATGCCATGTCATTCCTTTTCAAATTGTCATTCCTGGCATAGTAGATCATTTGGTTGTCTGATTCAAAATGGCCAAAACCAGTCCATTTCAGCTCACTAATGCCTAGGATATCAATCTTTATGCATCCATTTCATTTTTTACAACTTCCAATTTTCCTAGATTCATACTTTATACATTCCATGTTCCATTTATTAATGGATGTTTGCAGCTGTTTCTCCTTAATTTGAGTTGTGCCATGTCAGCAAATGGAGGTCTCGAAAGCTTTACCTTATCCATATGAGTAAGGCTGGTTTTACTCTGATGATGCAGCTCTTTCCCAGTGCTATTTTGAGAGCCTTCTAACCTAAGTGACTCATCCTCCCCCTCTGTATTGGACAATGTTTCCAGACTATTCGTAAAGTTGCACAGTAACGTATCAGACAGTGTTTCCCTGCTATTCATAAGGTTTTCCCTGGCCAATTCTTTGAGAAGTGGATGACCTCTTCCTTCTTCCTAGTCTGTCTCAGTCTGCAAGCCGAGCTGAAACCTGTGCACCATGTGCACCCTGCTGGGTTTGAAACACCAGATGGCACAGCCTCAAGACTCACAGCAACACATCACCACAGTAGGACAAACCAACAGACAAGTTTGTCTCCCTTAGCTGTTCAAATATTAGTATATTAGCTGTTCAAAGTATTAAACTTTGGAAGATCATAAAGATAACATGCATCCTCAGTAATAGTAAAGTGAAAATGATTCAGAGCCAATGGCCAATTAAGTCATATTATTGCTTTCAGAGGGAGCCCTGGTGGTGCAGTGGTTAAATCACTCATCTGCTAACCTAAAGGTGGGTAGTTCAAACCCACTGGCCACTCCAGAGGAGAAAGATATGGCAGTCCACTCTCATAAATACTCACAGCCTTGGAAACGCCATGTGGCAGCTCTACTCTGTCCCAGAGGGTTGCTAATGAGTCAGAATTGACTCAAAGTTGGGCAGTGGGGTTGTTTTTTCGGTTTATTGCTTTTAGGTCATGTGAAGACCTGAATGAACCTTTATTTTCCCTGAAGGTAAGTGACTTTTTGAGGAAACTAAAATTGGAAAAGAAGTTGGAAGAGGCTGTACAGTCCTCTCCCCACTGCGGTCGAGTCAACTCTGACTTACACACATCCTGTAGAATAAAGTAAAATTGCCCCATAGGATTTCCAAGGCTGTAAATCTTTACAGAAGCAGACTGCCTCATCTTGGTCCCGCAAAGCACCTGGTAGGTTTGAACTGCTGAGCTTTTGGTTAGCAGCTGAATGCCTTACCCACTGTACCACCCCAGAGCTCCCTCTACACAGTCCAGGATACCAAAAAGTCAAAATTCTTCAAAAATACCTCAGAAGAGTCTCTAACTACCATAAGCATTCAGTTTTGTTATTATCCTTAAAATAACACAGGCTACATCAACTAATGTTCATTTCCAATCAGCTTTTTCTCATCTCTGCCAAAGCATGATCTTCCAAGCATCCACATTGTAACACAGATCACGAATCACAGATCTTTTATTGGAAAAAGAGAAGTTCCCATAGTGAGATGCAAATTATTTCTTCATTTCTTAGTATCTCCATGATATAATTTTTATAAGAAAAGTTTTTTCACACATTTGAAATAAAAAGTATATTTACAAAAGGAGTTGAAAAGAAAAGAGCAAAAAGAGTTTTACAAGAAATAAGGTGAATTTTGTTCTGCCGCACCCCAAAAGGAGTTATTTGGGAATGAAAGTGCAGCACTTGACTTACTCACAAAGATGACATGAAGGACATATCGGATATGCACGCAGACCTCAATCTGAAGGAGCTGCCATCTCATTAGACCTACTTCAAAGCTTAGAACCCGATTTTCAGGTCATTAATGATATAATCATTTAACACCTGAAAAAGTCCATGTTTTATCTTTGGCCTGAGGAATACCACCCCAAAGAGATAAAAGCTTTTCTGTTTGGACGACTTTCTGTATCAAGTACTCTAGAATTCAACATTCTTTAGCCTAACCTCCCATCCTGAAATAAAAATATTCTGGAAGAAATTAAATGGCACGCCTTTGTTTTGGTCAGGATTTCTACACATGGAAACAAAGATCACTAATGGGTACCACGTGGATTAAACAGACCCTCTGACATCAATCTACTACAACATGATTCATCTAGAACCAGATTCTCGCTGCCCTAGATTTGTGTCTTTACACATACCTTGTGAAGTAACAAGTACAAAAGAGCTACATGAGCCATTTGCTAAGATTTGGTTCTAAAGGTTGGTGCCACAATTTGTTATCAAAGATTTAAAGATGAGTAAAGATCATCCACTTTGCAGACCAGAATGGTGAGGAGAAGTGAAAGTCAGAGCTAAGCACTACAGCAACAAAATAAACAAGCAAACTGGATCAACTCCCAGGTCAGGAGAAGATATGTGTCTCTTACATAAAAGAAGGTTGATGTTATTTAACCTAGAATTACAAAGCCAAAAACAACCCTTAAGCCTGAACATTTTTTCCAAACTTTAGTAAAAAAAAAAAAAAAAATCCAGAGGCATGAAGTGACTGCTAAGACCATGAAATGAACACCAAGTTACAAAAATTCCCACAAGTTTTGTAAACTCAGTATTTTGTTCTCCTCAGTTGCCAAGATGCACACATTTAAATACATAAGGATTCACATATGACTACCAGGCATGTTTGGGGACCTATAATTCTAACTAAGTAGAAATTAATAACCAACTGTGAAGAAACAGATTTTTAGATATCTCAATATTCTGTCAGTCTGAAGCATAACTTCAGAAGCCCTATATGCGTGCCTCTTCCAAAATGACTAACTTATTCTTAAGAAGGGAGCTCTGGTGGTGTAGTGACTGCTAACCAGAAGGCTGGCAGTTCAAACCCACCAGCCACTCCTCGGAAGGAAGATTGGGCAATCTATTCCATAGTGATACAGCCTTGGAAACCCAAGGAGGGATCACTATGAGTTGGGTTCAACTTGATGGCAGTTTGGTTTTGGGTTATTCTTAAGAAATAGGGACACACTGACTTAGCGTCATTATTAGAAAGATGGGCCTCATCAGCTTTAAAAAAATAAAATAAAATAATAATTCCGGTGCCTAAACTTAACAGTTAACATTACTTATAAAAATAGATGACTACACAATTCTAAGGTGCTCTGGTAGCATAGTGCCTAAAGCACTTGACTGCTAACCAGAAGGCTCACAGTTCAAACCCACCAGCCACTCCTCGGAAGGAAGATGGGGCAATCTATTTCCGTAGTGATACTGCCTCAGAAACCCAAGGAGAGGTCGCTATGAGTCGCGTCCGACTCAACAGCATATAACAACACACAATTCTAAGACTATCCATAAACAAGTACTTACCTTGTTAGTAAGGCTACACAGGACAGAAAGGAGAGAACAGCCTGATAGCTTGTTACTTGAACAGTGTAATCAGTCTGCTAATTTGCTTCAATCTCTATATAATTTAAGCAGAAGTCATCCTTTGCTTAAGTACAAGAAAATCACGATCCTAGCATTGAAATTAAACTTGATTGTAAAATAAGTAAGTGTAGCTCAAAAGGTACTATGTTGACCAATTGTTATTACACAGAAACAACTTTAAGAAGATCTTAAGGAGATGAAATTAAAATGGTGAAAATGATCTCTAAGAACTGAATATGGCCAATAAAGACAAATTTACACAACAAGAGTTGAGGGAAAGAGAGAAGTCAATTAACACTTAATGAACACCAGGCATTGTGTTAACACATTACTAACATTCTGGGTTGATCATCTTAATTATCACAAACAACCCCATGGGAAGCTATTATCACTATTCTTACTTTACAGGTAAGAAACAGAAAGGTTAAGAAACTGTCTAATGTCACCCAGCTGGTCAGTCTCGTAATTATCATATGAATCGAGATCTGTTGGAACCCTAACCCATCATCTTTCCTAACCACTGAAATGTGGATCAATGCAGGATCCACTTATTGTAAAACACATTTAGAAAGATTTTGATCATGAAAATTACAATATACAACTTCTTTTTTTTTTTTTTCCTCTTTGCTGTTATGCCTGGAAAAGCCTGCAAAATAAAGTCTGTAAAAGTGAAATTCAATTCAGATCAAGTCCCTGTTTATAGCAGCACCTCCCCTGTGAATCGCCAGCTTTCACTTTTCTCAAAGTGTCTCATAAATTTAGACTCACTTGAGCATCACAACATCTCAGGGAGGAAAAGCTGGTGCTGTCATCATTTTGCAGATGAGACTGCAACGATGTGAGGTGCTCAACATCACACTGAAATTTGGGGAAGAGCAGGGACCAGCATCTAAGCTTCCTGACACTTACCCAGTGCTCTTTGCATCATCACACCCTCCTCCCTTCAGATGCAGAAGGTACGAATTTCTAAATCTGAGGCAACACTCCCTTCCCTCCTTTTGTAAAGTGGTAAAAGATATAATTCATACGAAGGAGATATAGAATGTGCCTGGCTGTATTCTTTCTTCCTATTCTAGACCAAAGTATGTGAATAAAACAACTTGTAAGGGAAAATAGTCTTTCATTTCTTTGATTTCCACATAATATACGGGAATGACTGAATTGAAATCATAGCCCATGTGTGTAACAAGTGATTCCATTATAATCTTGAAACTCTAGAGCCTATGACAGCTAAAGCAATTTCCATGACTACAATACATAGAAATGATCTGGTATTAGGTAAAATTGAACTTACATATAGCCATTGGTAGAAAAGATGTGCTAAGATATTCAATAATATCCTTGTGCAGAAATGGAGGAAAGGTAGCTAATGTTGATATCATCGTGTAGGGCAAAGTACTCAGAATATCATCATTGAGGAAGGGGAGCAAACATGTCGTTGTATAAAATATGGACTGTCCGAGATCTAAAAGACAAAATTGAGTCATCAGCGCTATTTTATCATATGCAAAATATGCTAATTTTATACTAAGTTTTTATAAGTTACTTAAACTATTACAAGCAACTATTCCTCCCTTCCTATTAGGAGTTCTGAAACTGCTTGATATAGTGCATTATGTATACAGTAGTTGCTCAATAAATGGCTGATGAACAGATTACCATAATACCCATTACATAGCCTTTGCCCAACATCTTCTCTATTTTCAGTAATATCTCATATTCATACAGCTCCTTGACTTCCTGAATTCAAAGCTCTCTGCATGTTATCAAGGATCTTGCAATCCCCCAGCATACTCACCTCCATCGCATTTTACCCCAGATGTTAAAATCATTTGCCCACTGGATTTTCAGAAAGTCAAGGAAGGACTAGAAACAAAACCAGGCTATTTTTCGCATCCATCAACAAATTGACAGTGTTCCTACAACTGCAGTTGGGGCCATGAGGTGATCGCCGATACAGTACAGTAGTAGATTCAGGACACACCAAAGAAAGGAAGCTGTGCACTGACACTACCCGGGCGAGCACCACTGCCCAATAGAACAGGAAGGTCACAGTACCTACCTCGCTTCATTAGAACGATGCTATGAGGTTTCAATGGGATGAATGTAAAGTGCTTAGCATAGAACAAAGTGTGAGTTCTGCAAATATTAGTCATTGTTATTAACATTATTATTGTTATTATTACCTGCACGTGGAATAAAAATAGAGGACATTCCAAAAACAACATAACTACTTCAGCTTTAGAGAAGTCAGACCAAATCCCATTACCCTGAATGCCTATTTTGTTGTTTCTGCACCTCCACATACATAAGTCATCAGCCAAGGCTTGACAATGAAGATCATTCTCTTATCCATCATAATAGAAAAGGCTTCAGCTCTTGTTTGCTTTGCAGCCGATTTACCTTCTTAGTGGTACTTTGATTCCCAATGGTATTTCTGGTGGTCAATAAAGTTAACATGCCATCTCCCAACAGCCACCCCAACTGCTGATGGAGAGGACATGGCCGCACTGCTCACTGGCAATGAGGGTAAGTCAACCTGGGGCTCAGATGGACATAATGGAAAATTCACAGATGTTTCACTAAGCATCGGCTGAGGCTATACCTAGAAGACACTCCATCACTTAATCCATTAGCTGATCCTTTTAACCTAATTACAACCCATTAGCGTTGAATGGGACCAGAGAGCACTCCCAGCGTATGGCGCATCTGTCACATAAGGAAACTGAGGCTTGGAGGGGGGAAGCGATTGTCTGAGACCAGCTGAGAGTGAGGAACTACACTGCCACCAGCTCACAGCCCAGTGCTCTTTCCTTTGTGCCACGCTGACCCCAGTGGGAGGACTCAGCCTCTAGCTGGAGCTCAGTGGTTCTGAAACTCAGCATGCAGATGAGCTTGGTGACAAAATGCAGGTCCTTACAGCCCACCCTTAGCATAGTGCCTAAGGCATTTGACTGCTAACCAGAAGGCTGGCGGTTCAAACCCACCAACCACTCCTCGGAAGGAAGGTTGGGCAATCCTACTTCCGTAGTGATACTGCCTCGGAAACCCAAGGAGGGGTCGCTATGAGTCGGGGCTGACTCAATGGCAAATAACAACAACAACAACAACAGGGCCCACCCTTCGGTGATCTTTACTTAGAAGTTCTGAGATGGGACCTAGAATTCCACATTTTCAACTTCACTAGGTAATTCTGGCATTCTTCAGACCACACTTAGAGAAACCAAGGGATTGCCTAGTGAGTTTTTTTCTTAACTTCTAACCCCTGTTATGCAGAACACAATATATAGATAACAATGAAGAGTAAAGTTGCAAAACAGCTGTAGGTATAAAAGGGAGATAGCAATCATCCCCTTGAAATTGTCACAATTTACACATGAATTAGAATTAAATGAGTTGCAATCCACCAGATTGAATGCCTTTATCTTAAACCAGGAGCTCCGAAGGTAGGACAGCTCCCCTAAAGCAGTGGGCCACCTAGGATCAGGCCAGTCAGTGAGGTACATTCAGGACTGAGAGTCACAAAGGGAAGGCAGGTAGGTGTTCATGACTGAGAAACTCAAGATGGTAGGAAGCCCTGGCAGCCTTCTACGCAGAGCGTTATCTCCCCTAAGTTCTGAGCCAGAACAGAGCATAAAGTGGCCAGGGTTGAGATGCTACAAAATCACACAGTAAGTAACTTGACAAAGGCCTACATTTTTTTTACTATAACACAGAATACAAGAAAAAACAAACTCAACAATCATTTTTTCATCATTTTTACGAAAGCAGATTTCTTTAAAAGTTTGTTTGTTTTTTAAGGTAGAAACACATTGTACTAGATAAACAAGCATTCTCTTAGGAAAGTTAGCTGGAACTCCAAGGCACAATGACCCTACCACCTACTCATTCCCCAAAATTCCAATTTTTCTGTATAGTGAAAGTTTGGTTACCGTACTTTCAGGGACCAAATTCTCAGTACTTTACAGTAAAGCAATTAATGTTTAAAAAGTACATTTTCTACAAAAAATAAAATCCTTTTTCTTGCTGTATGGTTATCCATTTCAGTATCCCAAAAATAATGTTGGGCAGGTAAGCAGTAGATATTATTATTCTCCATTATGGGTTAAAAGAATGTGGTAAGCAAGCAAGGCAATGAAATGGACTAAAGACACACAGCAGAAAGAGGGAAGAACTGAGAAAAGAACCGTGCTCTTGAGTCTGTTCCAAGGCTCCACCAACACTGTGGAGAGCACACAGCACTGGACCACTTGGCTGACACTTTGTGATAATGATTGTTAGTTAAAGTTGTAGTTCTTAGAAATTTCTTATCTAACCTCTTAAAGTCAGGAACGATGAGTCCCAGAGAGGTTCAGTGATTTGCCCAAAGTGACAGAACTAGTCAGTGAATTAGAGCCTGTTCCTCAAGCTCTACAGCTTACATTTTCTAGGAGATAAATTTTAAAATCTTAGTCCCCAAATCAGAATTTAAACATGAGTCTACATAATGAACAGATCAGGAGGAAGAGATCATTTTCTGTTGTATTCTTCCTCCTTTGTCCAGCTTGTACAGCCCAACACAAGCCCACTTGGATATCTCTCTGGCAATAATAAAACTTTGAAAAATGATAAGCTGGGGAACACTGTCATTAAGTTTCTGTGTAAGAAAGGCTTCAGTCTCACAAGAACTTTCAAGTGATGTATTACAGTAACAACCACAGTCTCCAAGCCCCTTGCTCAGCATCCATAGATATGCATGGATGTGTTCATAGGTTTCAATGAAATGCTCACCGTGTTGGCCATGCTGTAGTAAAGGAACTAGATCCAGGAGAGTCACCAAAGTCACGTAGAGGCCTTGATAGTCCAAAGAAGGGTAGTCTGACAACTGAGCATCACGACTTTGCGGGCCGCGTTCAGAAGGAGCATCTCGCAGGACGCTGTAAAGGAGGGAGCGAGTAACAGTAGGGTTGATGGAACTGACCTGCGGTCTTAGAGATGGGGTGAGTGGGAATGGCACAGGAAAAAGACACATGGTCATGGGCACTGTCAAATTGGAGGCATCTTGGTTTTCCTTCTTCCCTGTGCGGGACAAAATGCTGTTGGGGGGACAAAGAAAAAAAAGAGACAACAAAGACACAAAGAACAGCACATTACATTGAAATGACACTCTAAAACAAATAATAAAACACCAGATATGCCCCACATAAGATGCAATCACCACGCCAGCCATGTCTACTGATCTAGTGCTGGGCACACAGCTCTGTGCTCAGAGATACCAATAACGCAAGGTTTCTTTTGTGGAAGTTTCATTGCATCTCATGTGTTATCTGGTTAATAAGGAGCAAAAATATAAAAATGCATGTTTCAGTGCCAAACCCATGTTTTACAGTTTATCAGTTTGGTGAAGAAGAGGTTTCCTGGTAGGAAAAACAATGACTTTGTTTAATTGGTAAGAATTTTTATTCCTAATTCATATGGAGCTTTCAAAAGAAAGGAAGTTTTCAGCAAGACTGTCTTAATCAGGTAAATGAAAACTTGCAAAATATAGGTATGGCACTTGCAGAAACATGTTTTAGCAAAGAATAAACATGTGTGTTTATTAAGAAAGTCTTAAAAATCACATGTTTATTGCATCAAAATAATGTCTATATGTATATTATGATACTGTTTCATGACATTCTGTCAGTATCATTTGAGATAATGAAGTTTAAACAGGCATATGAATTTAGAAATAATACATATTTCTAAAATGTTAGCTATACTACATTGTAAAAGCTATAAAATAATATATAGTAGATGGTTCTGTAGCATAAGTTTGTGAACTAATGGCAATGGTTACTTATGTGTGTTTTTAATTTTGCATGTTGGGGAGGAAACATTTTAACTAACGAATACAAACAGTGGTTTGTTCAATAGTTATCATCAAGATTCTAAGAGCTAAGCAAGCAGTATCTATCATATAGCTACATACCATACAGTATGTGTTACTGCCACTACTTACGTTATCACTCAACAACTCACTAAAAACTAAAGGAAAGATCACTTAGAAAGTTCAAAAAGAAAAAAAAGTTTAATGGGCATAAAAATAAATTCTAAAAATTAATTGGTTTTCTTTTAGCCTCAATTTTTAAATAAAAACCTTCCCATAAAAGTGATAAAGCCAAAAAGTTAAGTTGAAAATATTGCTTAGCCAAATGTTTAGTTTTCGGGTTTTTTTTTTTTTTGTAAATTGGTTTACACTATTTATCATGAAAGACAATAGCTATAAATTGCAATGATAACATCTGCTGCTCTGACAAAGGGCTTTTGTATGCTACATATAATATGTTAACCAAACTGATATGTTAATCAAAATAGATAACGATTTATAAATGTTTCTCTACATAAAAATAACCAACCTTGT